CATCACCCGACCACTTAACGGACGAGATGTAGGTGTCGGCGGGGCATTCGAGAAGGGAAGCTACTGACCCAGTGTCGGCTGACCACACATAGACGGAGCGCTCGAGGCCGATGGCGACTTGGTTGCCTGAGGACCAGTCGAGGAGGTTGAGGTAGTAGTCATCAACAAGACCAGGGGCATCGAGGACGCGCTCGGGTGCAGATGGAATGCGGCGGCGGCTCTGTGCGTTGACGCTGCTGGCGGGCTTGAGGGGACGGTTGTATTGGGAGCGAAGGTCGATTGGCTTGGATGACTCTGGAGGCGCGGGCTTGAAGGCAAGAATGCGTGTGTTGTTGTTGATGCCGCATGCTGATGCGAGTTCAGACTGGTAGGCGGCCTTGCCAGGAGTGGCCTTTGATCGTGATCGGCTCTCCTCGTCCTCGTCTTCCAGACTCAGGCCTTCCAGAGAAAGCGCTACATCCTCCTCGGAACCACGTCCACCAAGATCGAAAGCACTGGCGGCGTTGGCAAGTACTGCTGATCCCTCAACCTTGGAGCTGGATTTGGGACGCTGCTCGTTGTCAAGCTTAGTTGCGCCAGTGCTGCGGATGGCCTCGCTAGCCGTCCGGTTGGGGATGAAACGATCAGCAGAGTTGTATGCGATGCGGGTCTTGGTTGGACGAGCGCGGACGGTCGTGGCTTCCTTCTTCTCCTTCTTCGCTTTGGCGGCAGCCTTGGTGGCAGCGGCAGTGCCGGTTCCGGAGAGGGACCATTCTGATACACCGAGCTCTAACCGGCGGGGAGTGTGTGAGCGAGCAATGTTGGATTTGGGGGAGTCACGGGTAGTCTTGGTGACGGAGCGCTGGAGGCGGGCCATGAAGTTGCCGCCATGGATAGACTCTTGTGTGTGGGCATCGGGAGTCTGTGTTCGTGGTGTGCGGGGAGAAGGTGTCAGCGGCATGCGACCGCCAGCGGTGCGAGTGTTGAAGACGGAAGAGGTCTTCTTGACTGGAGTCAAGCAAACTGTTGGAGTTGCCATGACTGCTAATCTCGAGCTGGACTAGTGGGTTAGCTAAGTGTTCATGATCCGTATCCGGAATGGTAGTCCTACAGTATGGGCTTTTGGGGACTGCTATGTGGTTGTAAGGATTAGTGTTATACAATGCTGTAATCGATGCTTTTGAAGTATGGATTCGAAAGTAATTGACTGATGTGCAGCCTGAAGATGCAATGCAGGAGTGAGGAGAGTGGTAAAGCGTGTGTGGTAGTGGACATGTATGAAGGCAGGTATGGGAGGCGTTTAAGTATCCTTTGTTTACGCTTGCGTCGACGAGGCAACGGCAAGCGAGACCCTGTGCGGGCTCGACTGGGCAACGGAGGCCAGATGACATCACATGACCGGCGGTGCCACGGCGTGCGGAAATGACCGTAAATGCACACCCTGGCTGCTGCACATCAAGGAAGGCGGTCTGCTCTGCATGTGCATGTCGTGATGTCGTCCGCTTGCTTTGCCGCTGGCCTGTGACGCATCGCATCCCCTCCAATCTCGACCCTAAATTGCCCTCACTGCCCTCTCCCCGTCTGCACTGCTTGCATACATATATTACCACTCCCTGCAGCATTGCAGACGCTCTCTCCGCCCTGCTCTTGCGTGGTTTTCCCGCTCTGCTCCCTGTGCTGTGGCTGAGAAGGATTGCCTGCGCCCCCGTTCCTTCCGTGTGAGTCGCAGGGCTGAGTCGTGTCTTTGGCGGGTCGGCGCTTCCGTTTCCAGTGCAGGCGGTGTCGGGCGGCAGTATGCACGGCTAGCCAACCCAACCTGGTCAAACATTCTAGCACTCTACGTAGGGACAAAGGCGTATCCTGCCCACGCGGGCCTTCACTACATATTCACCACTCACTAATCCTCACTCACCATCCATGGCTCACCCAGGCTCTCGATCCGCCTTCCCACCCACCACCCTCACTCCCGCCACCACCGCTGCTCCCTCACCCGCCCTCTCCCACTCGCATACGCCCACACCAGGATCCGCCGGATCGAGCAACAACACCTTCCTCATGTCTGCAAGCCCCGTTAGAAGCCGGAGGTCAGCCGTGGACGGCTATAAACCAAAGATGATCTCAACCATTGGTGCCAAGCCCGCCTGCCTCGTCAATGCCTCAGTCACCTACGTTGGTGACGACCAAATATACGCCTTTGGAGGCTTTGATCAGTACACAGACGAAGGTGCGTTGGACATACAGTGGTGATTTCGGGACCGAAAGGCCTGCATATGCAGGTTTGCGGGTGTGTAAGCGGTATAGGGACTCGATGCTAACTTTTTTTCTCTAGTATACAACCACGTCCTACGCCTCAATCTCGTTACCCGGCAATGGAATCTGGTCGACAATTATGGCGATATTCCAGGCGTGCGAATGGGTAAACCTCTCTTCCTTTACTTTCACATTAGCCATTATCTCACATCTCGATATAGGACACACCGCATGTCTTTGGCAGGGTAATAAGCTTCTCGTATTTGGCGGTGAGAACGAGCATCGCCAACATCTTGCCGACGTCATTGTCTTCGATCTCAAAACCGCTCATTGGACACAACCGGAATTGAACGGCCCCATACCACGCGGCCGCGCTCGACACTCTGCAGTAATCTATGACGATAAGCTGTATATCAGCGGCGGCCAGACTGGGCATGACAGTGTCTTGGATGATATCTGCTACTTGGACTTGAAGACATGGACTTGGTCGCGAACATGGAGATTTGTTCCTCGATACGACCATGCCAGCTGGATCTGGAATGGCCGCATTTGGATTTTTGGCGGAATCAACGACGAGATGGAGAAAAGCAATGAGATTTGGTGGCTTGATCTCAGAGGGAGCCCCGAATTCGAGCACGCAATGAAGTATGGGACTGGTGATCGACAACTCACTTCATCTCGTCACCGGTATCCCGTGCCGGCTTCAGGTCAACTCGCCACTGGCAGTACAGGTTATACTGCCAACTCAAGTGTCCAGTCTTACCATGGAATGAGCTCCAGCCGCTCACCATACGTTGCTCCAGGATCCATATCTTCGCTCAAGTTCCATTCCAGCCCGAACTTGCCTTCGCAAGCAGCAGGCACACATTTCCACCTTTTTTCATCTGGCTGCATGCTAGACTTCGTCACACCTGCTGAGCTGAGCTGCGAGACCAGCCTTTCCAGCCTCGAGCTTGACTCGTTGCGTTGGCAAAAGCTAGCCGAGGGAAAAGATTTATACAGCCCAAATTACCGCTGGCATTATTGCACAATGAATCCCGAAGGTACACACGCCTGGCTGCTAGGTAGTCCAATTGAGTCTGCGAATGATGGAAATCACAACGGCGAATATCTCAGCGACGTACTTGCCATTGATCTTCGCAAATACGGCATCCTTGGTAACGAGCTGGCCTCGGACACACGTTCCAAGATGATGCCTTCTTCCGACGCCAACGTCTCGTCTCACCTCAGTGGAATTGGTGCCGACCTGTCCTTGACTTTCGATCAGCCACCTGAGAGCGGCAGCGGCGCAGATTTTATAATCACTGCAGATCCCGATGACGATGACTACAGCGACATCGCCGGAGCTGATTCCAACGGTTCATCAACTGCTGTCGCACCTACTTCACGCCCAATACACGTTCACAAGCTCATCCTGCACGCTCGCTGGCCACATTTTGCGCGTTTGTGGAATGCACAGATGGCCGAGTTTCATTCGAAAAAGATGCATATCCCCGAACCCTACTCCGCAGTCCGCGCCTTCTTGTTCTACCTCTATACCGACAGCATTGCGCCTAACCCACAAAACGGCCCGACGCTGAACGATGTTGCCGGCATGCTCGTCATGTCCAATATCTACGACATGCCTCGCCTCCGCCTACTTTGTGTCAATCGCTTAGGCCGAGAGCTGGACATTGAACACGCAGCCATAATATGGGAGCGTGCTGCCACGGCTGGCGAGGAGTGGCTCAAGCAACGTGCAGCTACCTTTTGCATGCAAAACTTTGGCCGCGTCGTGCGCACCGCCGGCTACCGTAACCTCAGCCCCGCAAGCCTTATCGAGTTGAGCTGCGAAGCCTCTCCCGAAGCTCGTATTGTCGGTGGCGACGACCTGGATCTTTTATCCCAAATTACGGGCCGTTCATATAACGGGAGTAATCGCAAACGCAGTCTAGGTAGCACGGGCGTGCTGACGGGTGGTGAAGAGGATGATATTGAGGAGGTTGAAGATGATGGCATGGACGTCAATTGAGAAGGCATTTGTGAAAAGCAAGTGCTGGTATCATGGCAAGCACTTTTTTATTCCCCCTCCCGTTCTCTGTTTTTCCCCATTCATTAGCATCATGGCGCGGCGCTAGGGTTTTTCTGTTTCTTTGGTTGGGAAAATGGAGGAAAGTTTAATGGATTTGGGCGTTCTTTTTCTTTCATTGGAATTTATGCATTGCGAAGGCTGGATGAGGCGTTCTTTTTCTTTGGATCGCTTTTGAACTCTTTCTCTTTCTCGTCTGGTAGTTGAGCTTCTCTCCCCCTTTTCTAATGATTACATGATTAAAACACACATGGACTAGGTAGTTCTAGATGTGAAGATTTTGATTATCCCATTTTTCCTTAGCACATGTTGTTGTCAATGACGCATGTGCATATCGTTATGTGTAGCGACGAATTAATGTAAAGCACGATGCCACGAATGATTTGTGGGACAAGATTGGGGAAAAGATGAACAATGTCAAACTTTGTAAAAACAGTGATGAATGTGTTCCAGACCCAGAGTCGCGAACAAAGGTACGACGATACACAAGTCTATAGCATTTGGAGCGAAAGATTCCCCCACCTTGAGCTTTAAGAAATCAAGCCATAGCAGTATCGGCGTCCGTGGCACCTAAGGAATGCATATTTCTGAACTATTTGACATCTGGAACATTGGATATTACATTACAGTTCCAACTCTCCTACTAGCATGCAGCGTGAAATTCAACGCTGGAAAAAAGAGGGCGTGTGAAATGACAAATTCTTCATCGTCGACGGTCGCGGTCACGATCGTCCCGACGATATCGATCCCGGCTCCTGTCACGACGGCTGTCACGCCGGCGGTCGGGACTGCGGCTTCGCTCTCGCCTCCGGTCATGATATCTGCCATCGTCGCCATCTCTCCGGTCGCGTTTAGGGCTGCGGCTGCGGTTGCGCTTGAAGCGATCATCGTGATATTCTGTTCTTCGTTCGCGCCTTCGTGTGTCGTCTCTCCGCACGTCTCTGCTGGTGTCGCGCGTCCGTGGTGCTGCGTCTCTGGATGGATCGGAATCAGCAATCAAGTTATTGACGACAGAGTCAGACATGATTTGGCGCCCGGGACCGTCGCGGTACTGCCTCTTCCTCTCGAGATTATCGATACCACCGAATCCACCCGCAGCTGACCTCCTCTTCTTGTTTGTCACGTCTCGCCAATCATCTGCAATTTTTGACACCGATTGTGAAAAGTCGACATGTATGCGGTGATCGTCGATCAAGACGCCGTCCATCTTGAAATACGCCTGTTCGCAGTCTTTCTGATTGGCGTATTCGATAAAGGCGTACTGCAGGCTGTCACCTGTGCGCTTATCTCTAATGACTTCGCAACTGAGAATCTTGCCGAAGCGCGAAAAGATGAGTTCTAGATCCTCGTCTTGCGTCACAGGATTCAACTTGCACACAAACAGCACGTTTTCCGGCGGTGCAACTTCGGCAAATGGCAGATCGCCAACCATCTCCAACGTGAGAGCTTGCGCGCGCGCCTCGCGTTCTCGACGGACCTTTTCAAGCGCTTCTGGATCGTTTTCCTCCTCAAGATTCTCATCGTGGGCGACACGGACTGTAGCGAGTTGCGCTGCTGAGGGTGCGGGGCTTTCGGGTGGCTCAACGAGGCCGGCGGGGTCATCGTATGGATCATCGAGAACGACGGTATGCAATATGCGAATGTCTTTGAGTGGCTGACCTTGGTCGTCGACGTATGCTGTGTTGATTTTCTCCAACGTATCAAATCCCTCAACGACTGTCCCAAAAATGGCAGCCTTGCCATTGAGATAGTCAATGTTTGGCCCCAGTGTCACAATAAATTGGCTACCAGCAAATCGCTCGTCGGGGTCGTCCGGGTTTGGGGCTGTTGCCATACTGACTGTGCCCATCTCCGTGTGCTTGAGCTTTGGGTTAAAGTCTGGAACAAACGTCTTCTTTGCGGGTTGCGAGGGGTCAAGCAGGCCCCATATCGAGCGACCACCATCGCTGTCTTTGGCACCAGGGCCGATGGGGTCGCCTGTTTGGAAAGAGAAGTTTGGCTGGACGCTATGCACGGGCGCAAAGTTGTAATACTTTACTTTGCATAGCTTGAGGAAGCTAAGGCGACAAGCTGTCAGTATCTGTTGTGTGTGCTCAGCTTGGGAAGACAGCGGGATAGAGCATGCAGGATGCAGGTCAAAGAACGCGAGGCGCGCGTGGGGATTGGATAGACTTACTTTTCACAGCATCTCGGCGCATCTTCCACCAACAAGTCGATGGTGATATCCCCAAGTGATGTTTCTAGAAGCACAGACATGGCTTGGGCTATGTTGTGCGGAGAATCAGTGTTTGTCGCAAAAGTGGGAGTTGAACGCGACAGATTCGGGATTGCGACAGCGTGACTGCTTAGTCACGATGATGTATTGCCCAAAAGGGCCTAGCTCCAGGTACGGAGGTTTTGTTTTCTCTACCTCCAACTTCATCCTTGTGGGGCAGTGCGCTCCAGAATGCTTGATAAGCTTTGATATATTGGCTAATCTATCCATAGTTTTATTTAAACCTCTCTCCGAGAACGTCATTAAATGCAACCGTAACATGCAGCCACTGCCAGACTGACAGCTCAAGTCTGGTATCGGGAGGGCGATGTACCATATTACTGCTGTTGGGGGGACAGCCTAAAAGCATTAAGATGTTTCCGGAAGAGCGTGGGGTTCTTGTGAGAGGCGGCCCGTTGAGTGTCACCCGCCGTCTAATTGTTGTGCTCAGTGATCCTTGTCCAGCTATACGCAAGCCGCTAGGTTGCATACTATGCACATCGATCCGAATTCCCCGGATCCGTCATGCCAGAAGCATCTATTAGGCGAGAATCATCATGGCTTACCGACAGCCGATCACTTGCTGCGCGTCATCACTTCCCGGTAGCCGTTGGATCCTAAATGTGGATACTCATGTACCTCGCTTTTCGTCCCCTAACTAATTGAAACTTTGTAATGCAGACTGCCTCAACAATTTTTTTCTTTCAAAGACTGCTACGTAATCAGTATATCTCATAGATTCCTCACCTACCGCGACCATCTCTTGCCGATAGCATAGACATGATTCCATGCCCATGCGTAGGACACGATAGTGGACAATTTCAAACGCAGTAACACTATTCCTGCAAGGATGGGGCATCGTCACGTCACGTCACTTATCTAGACTTTAGAACTACTTCATCTGGAGATATGCAGCACTGGGAGACCCACGAGTCTTGTAATCTTTTCGTCATTTCACGACCGTGACACTATGAAAAATCGAGTAGACAGTCCAAGTTACCACGGTCGTGCAGCAGGGGTTCAAAGGCTAGAGAGGATCCAAATCAGCAAATCTCTGACGTTTTCTATCGATGAGTGATCGTCTCACCGCGAAGTCTTGCCTCTAAACATGGCGTATCAAAGTTTGCTCGCTTCTTGGCACCCAAATCTACCAGGTTATTGGTCCGTCGCCCAAAGAGACAATACAATCGACGCGCTCGTCTTTTCAGCACCAGCATGGTACCTCTTAGTCAATGTCTTTTTATCATGCGCTCTCTTTCGATCGGCGACACAGCACTCTACATCGATTCAGCTTGGGCCAAGTCCACAGTGCCGCTGTGTTCTGCATTCAGGATGTACCACACCAGAGACGAATCTGTAATTTTGTCCAGATACGCTTTGCTGTAGTGATCACGAAGCTAGGGTTGTTCGCTAAAAGTGATTGCATCAGTTATCGCCATCTGAATCGGGCATAGAATCCGCCGGAACTTTCCTGCCGGCGTTCCCCGTATATCCATCCAGCCTTGAGTTATCGGACGCAGTTCCGGTATTCTGCATGACTAGTTGGAATCGCAAAGTCAAGGATAAAACTTTGGCGATCATCAGTGAGGGTCGTTGGGTAAGAATGAGGCGAATACTGAAGGCAGATTACACATGAGTGTAGTTTCCGCTCCAATTCTGGCGGCAAATCGTCTTTTCCGAGACATTCCGATGAAGAGGCATTGTTTGCCGTAATAATATTGACCTTTTGGTGAAAAGTCGAGTTTGGGCGTTTTATCCGGCCGCTTGAAAACTAGCCCAGTCAACACCGCCATGTATCTGTTCTGCCGATCCAATACCTTTGTGGAATTAGCCCCTTCATTCTTTTCAGTATCTATCCCCTTCCAGGTCATAGTAAAGTTTGTATGCTTTCATTAGACGATTGTTATGTGAAGGTGGCCTCAACTCCTTGCTATATGTCCCGCTTCCGCGGTGGTACTATGCAGCCTGCAAACAATCGACAACCCTTTCGAGATACTACGCAGTTGCTAGCGTATACAGATAGTTGCTGGCCTCACCAGGTTTCTGGTCGACGCCTTGCAGTTGTGTTTACATGATGCTCCTGAACAGAGGCTATCCGGCTATATTCCCCTTGGTTGAAATCTTTCGTCGAACCCGAGGCTTATGGATAACACGCAATCCAGCATACGGTGTTTCAACTATTTTCATTCTCCGCGGCGCTTTGACATTACTCTTTTTGAGATACGTGCTTCATACCCCCTGTTCACAGAGCGGTCACTATGCATGCAGGTTCCCGCAAAGCTGTCATCTTGCTGTCGACATCGACAGGCAATCCAGTAGATTAGAAAACTCGGTGGCCGCTGAAATCTCAAATTCCATATTTGCAAAACACTCATTCGCACTACTACTGCCACGTCGATTCTACTACAGCTCTAGCCACGCGTTTGACCATACATTCCAGTTTCGCTGAGACTGGATCTACTGTTTTTCTAAGCTATAAGAATCGCCCCTCTAGTCGTTTGTTGTATGACCCGCTCACCGGTTGTCTCCCCTCTGCCCTTGAGCAACATTCATGTTCTAGACATTGACAGTTCAGCCGATTCGCTCTGATCTGGCCACTGCCCACAGCCTACTCTGAACGAGTCCTAAGATACCCCTACAAGGAACAAACGTGTCAACTTTCTTCTTTTGTAAGTCGAGAAGCTTATTTCTTTCAATACCGATTCAGCTAATTTTATCAGTAGGACCCATGTCCATGTCATTCGTGGAGTACGAAGGCCAGCGTCCTTGCCTATCGCACAACAATCCATATCAGACCTATATCTATGACGACCGCCATGCTTCGTCAACACTTGGTCACAACACACGAGAGAATCCTCGCAGCTACCCTGTTGGTGGCCCAGTTGGTGGCATGCACACACGAGCCATGATGGGTGGAGAGGACCATATGGTAGAAACTGGTCCTGTAAGACGTCGCATTGCAGTAGCGGTAAGTCAAGTACAGATACTGGGAATTCTTATCCGGTCCGCATGCGACTGAAATAAGCTGTTACATCTCTTTTTATGAAACATCTTGGAACATCGGATTGCTGATATTGAGTACAGTGTGCGCGTTGCCGTAAGAGAAAGATTCGGTGCAGCGGTGACCCAGGTAACGGGACTGGTTGTCTCAACTGCCGGGCGGCTGGAGTCGAGTCAATACACTGCCAGTTTCATCGAGTAAGTAGGTTTTGAAAGTCCATGACTTCGCGCTAACAATTACAGGTGGGGTCTGATGTCGTCCACAAAGTCATAGATAATATCAACATAGCCCACGGCTTGAACAACATGGCAGGTGCACAGCAAATGATACCTGTGTATCAGACAGGAGGCAACAACACCTTTTACCAGCGCGCAATACCTATTCAATACTCGCAATATCCAACAATCGATACAAAATCAACATATGCCCCAGCTTGGACTGTTCCGTTTCCCGAAGACGCCTCGCCTGTGGAGGCATTTAACCTGGAACAACCACCAGGATACATACCAAACACGGCATCGATGACAAACGCAAATATATACGGGTCCTCATATCGAGGAAGTGATCCAGGGGCGAGATCCCTGGGGGGTGCATGCTTCGACCAAGAATCATTCAACAGTCTGCCCTGTGCTACTTCAAATGGCCGGGTAACTCCATCCGATATTTCTCCCCTAGACACTGGCATGTCATCTCTCCATCTTTCTCTGCCCGAGAGACCTCGTCCCCGACAAACACACCCATCAGAGCCCAGCGTCACTCGAAGACATCTACCCATACCCCAGCCTAACCCAGCTCAATCCAATCGCAACGCTGTAGATAAATCACAAGACGAGCGCCTCCGATCTGCTCGGGTAAGCGGATCTTCCGCCATTAATAACAGGGGATCTTTTGCGAGGCCGCCGATGCCTTGGGTGGTGGAGGGAGGCAACCAAGCAAATGTATCAGGGGTGTCTCCCACAAACGATGCGAAACAAGTCATTGCTCAACCCAGATTGCATGATGGCACAGAAAACCCAATCAGCTACTTTTCCACCACGGGGGACATAACTGCAACAAGTACGGGTTCTCAGCTTGACTTGGCCTTTAGCACCTCAGGTCTTCTCGATGGAATGAGCGCATCTGCACAAGCCGCCGCATACTCCTGTGTCCGTGGAAGTCACCATATTGCACCAGGAGACCCTCAGTCAAATATTCACAGCTTTGAAAATACGCACTCCACGAAGCGGAACTCCACGGTTAGCGACTTGCCGAGCAACCACCCGTTAGGCACCACTCATCGCTATACTCCGTTGAACCACTCCCCGCCTCAGAACTCATTCGGCAGCCGCAAACCCCATCGTGAAGCATGTCATGGCCGAAGCACGCGGTTGCAGCGCACTTCCGTAGGCAGCCTGAAAGCCAACTACTAACAGTGTCCGATCTTTTGAGCCTCTTTGGATGAATCAAGCTCAGTGATTCTTGCGATGCTTCCTGAATCCGCATCCGCTACTGGTGGTCGGGAGTTGGCAGTTTTGTTTCGGATCAAGCTTGGCCTTGGTAATCCGATACCAAATTTCTATCCACATTTAGTCCGACGAAGCGTCTCAGAAAGCACGAACTTGATTCCTAGTATTTTCCACATTAGTGAAAGTAGACCGCTATCTCCCTTCCGGCGATCAACGGACATTACTGAACCATCTTCCTTGATTTTTCTGTTACCATTGTCGTTCTTATTGCATTTGTGCTCATTCAATATGTACCATACATGCTTTCTGCAATTTCCGTCTGCTTCCAGCATGTTCTTTTTTTTTGTTCTCCAACCACATCTTGTCTTCATTGCGCTTGCGGATTTCTGTTTTTTCGCGCACAAACCAAGTATCGTTACTCCCCGTCTCTTCTCAGGAGAGAGACACAACGCCAGGGCCACTCTTTTCGCAAAAGTCTTTTTTCTTTGTCAGCACTCGGACACACTTGGTGTGTATATCGGCTGGATTACGCATGCATAACTTGATATGAGGCACGAACAATTGTGTACTAGATACTTTTGTGTCGATTGATCCTATGCAGATATGACTGGTAGAGAGCAATGATAAATATCAGTTATGTTCACATGTTCCTCGCAAGTAACTCGTTCATTTTTTTAACTCGATAAACTACAGGTCGCTTTACATGTAACAGTTGTTCTGGCATCAGTTTCATGACGAACAGAAACCTGCAAAAACAAGTCAAAAGGCAACATCCCATAGCAAAATCCAAACCAAACCCCCTCCTTCATTCACAGCCACACCATTCACAAAGATCTCCTCCTCCTCAGCCACCTACACCCCCAACATACAAACACAACGCTTCCACGCCCTCCCCAGCCCAATCCACAGAAACATGCAGCCAGCCTCCGCCCTCCCCTTCCCCTAACACCACGCACCCCCAAACGCCGCAGTAACTCAACGGGCGCACAAAAAACAAAATAAATGGGCCCTTTCTCTCACTGCGCTACATACCTGCCTTGTCTGGATAGACCCTATGCCACATAACCTGCTGACCTACCACCGCGCCTGTGCCACGGTGATACAACAGTAGCAGCAACAGCCCCACACCCGTTGAGCGGCCCTAAAAACATTTTTTTTGGTGTAACGTGGGGGAGGATTGGTGTGTGGGGGCCAAACAGGCATGTACATACGTACATACGTGCGTATGTGTGTAGGAGGCAAGGGGGCTAAGATGGTCATGGGGGGATTGGATGGGGAGGATGTGCTTGTGGTACGTAGGGGGTGCTGCGGCAGGGTCTCGATGCGGTCGATGGCCCCGCTGGCTATGTGTGCATTTTTCTCTTCTTGCGGAGATGCTAGAGTGTCGTGTTTGTGTTTTTGGGGATAAGGGCGGGTGAACAGAGAAGGCGGTGAGGGGGGGATGCGGCGACGAGAAGTAGAGTGGTGCTGTGACGTGGTGTTTTGTTTGTGGTGGCGACTGAAAGAGGGAAATTTGGTTGATGTCGATACGAGATTTGGGGGTTAGGGCTCAAAGATGGGGTTGAGAGGGTCAAACATTTGGTGCTTCCATATGTGGAGAGTGGTTGGGCCGAGTAAGGCAATCGTTTGCGAGGGAAGGAAATGGGATGCGAACTTTCTGTTTTGGTGCGTAATGTCGTTGACGATAGCAAGAAGACAACTTGTGTCTCTGTACTCGTGCTTCTAGAGTGATAGCCTTATACCTATCTATACGTACAAAGCCATCTATTTACGAAATAATCGAATCATAAAAATTGGGGTTGTAATTACTAGCCCCGGAAGTATATTCGAGTATCGCGTTTTGAGGGGCTTCAAGTGGTACTGAAAGTGATTAAATAAGTCGAACACGAAAACATGCAAATGATATGTCTAGGGTTAAGCGCTGTATAGTGAAATATTATGATTGACAAGTCTCATTTCCATCAAAGAATTGGGACTCTTGGTCTTCTAAAACAACCTTACCTTACATCTCGTGGTTGATAGCCTCGTGCTTCCTTTGTCTTCCTTTGCCCTCTTTCTCTCATTCTTCTTTACAACAGCTCTGATTCAGGCAGTACAATCTCTACTAATGAGACCTGACTGCGACAGTCCCATATCTTGAGTAGCTTCAATCCCGATTTCTCAATAAGAGCACGGAATTCACGGGGCGTGCGCTCGATGCCGTTGATTGCTGCCATGAGTGCGAGATCGCGTTGATGAGAGTAACGCGTATAGTACCCCTATCGATTCAGTATTAAATGCACTCACTTAGAGTATCAGCTTACCCAATTGGCAGGCAAAGGGGACGGTGCAGCTGTGAGCTCTTCCGAACCCAGCGTCGTGTTCATGACCTGATCACAAACCAGAATCCGTGATCTTGGTCCCATACTAGGCTTGATAGCTTTCAGAATGCGGACGCAGTACTCGTCTGACCAATCGTGCATGATGTATCTAAGCCAATATACTTCGGCTTCTTTTACCGGGTTTGGTTCGAAAAAGTCGTGTGGACAGAACTGTACTCTCTCTTGTGCAATAGCTTCCGGATTTTCTTTGGGCCAAATCACTGTCTCTGCCTGTTCCAGCACTGGTGCGCGATCTTGTACGACAAATTGCAAATGCGGGTAGACCTGCGAAAGCTGGAGACAGAATCCACCTACACCTCCTCCCACATCGACCACACGAGCGGAACCTAGTGACTCCCAAGGATAGTCTAGGCATGTTGTTAGCTGCTGCAAATCTTTGGAATAATTTGGGACAAGCACCATAGATGTGAGCCTTCCCAAGTATTCTGCCTCCTCCAACCATTGCGAGACCAAAGTTGGGCAATTCCGGTCGGACTATCAGCTCAGAGCCAGCCTTGCCTTCCACTGCCTTGTCCAGCTCGGAGCCAAAAGGACCAGGATATCCACTTTGCCCTCCGTCAGTCCCGCAACGGCCGTCCAGCAAATCTTGCACGGTAATCTTTTCTTCGAACCACTCCCATCTTGGTTTGTGGGTACCTAGAGCCTTTTGGAAGGCAGTCTCTGCGACATCGTATGAAGGACCCATTTTCTTATCGAAAAGGGATCTAGGTAAATGATCGGAAGCAGAGTACATGTCGAATGCGCTACGCATGTATATTCAGTTTTATCTTTTCATGAGAACCGAAGTAGACATACAACATCACAATATATGCCCTGAGAGGCTCGTTGTTCACCAAAGCAGCTGACACTTCATTATTCGCAAATCGTTCAGGCTGGACTTCCTTGAAGATGTGTATGGAGCACAGACAGCGCATGATTCGAGCTGCCATTATGCAATGGTCAATAAATACGGCCGGGAACTTGCACATATATCGGCAATACTAACATAGTTTTAGAGCGTCGCAGCCTGCCTGCTCTGCCAGCTCCTTGACTGCGACACCATTCTCATTATGGCCAGCCAGCATGTCTGGAATCCGCTTCTCAGCTGCGATATGCAAAGCTCGTGCCTCGAAATACTGCATCGATACTTCCAAAAGACGTACGCTTGGCGTGCTCACAAGCTCCGTGACCATACCAACTGCAGCGAGAATGGTTCTTTGGGCATCAAACAGCGCTCTCGGAGGAAGAGAGTCCTTATAGTCTCCACTTGATGCTCCCAGTGTGGTTAGTGCAGAATTCAGTAGCGCCTCGAGCTGCGCGAGCTTGGTTGTGGTTGAGTTGGGGTCCATTGTTCCGGATGGTCTTTGAATGCGAAGGAGGAAATATCGGATTCTGTGGCTCCCTATCGGGTGCGGGGTTGTATTTCAATAAAATAGAGCGCATTCGTTCTGCATGTCCTTCCTTAGTGCTTCTTCTCTCTGTATCCGAACATGAAAATAGCATAGTACGAATCGGATAATTTTCCGTTTGAGATGTAGCGCCCTTGTAATGGTTGCAGTGGCCTGTACGGAGTCGCTTACTGTTACTTATCGCTTGACTAGAATTAATGATGTCATATTCTTGCATCAGCTGTGATGTTTACCCTTATCTTTACAAAGTTTGTAACAGTGCATATCTTCGCTAACTTGCTTTCCCAGCTAACCGTAATGTTGAGGGCATATATTCAGTGTCTCCCCAGCTTGGCCACAAAGTTGAGTAAAAAGGCAAATTGATTCTAAAGAATAGCTTGGATGAGACAGTTGTGGGATCGTTGTCCTGTTCCAAACAAGAGCGGGGTTTAAATATCCTAGCCAGATTGGGTGATAAAAGGTCGAAAACGACGATGACTGATCTAGCTCAACTAATTCAGAAGGTGTAATAGCTAGCGATAGGCACAGCGTGATGGGTAACAACATTGGTGTACGCACGCTGACAAGGAAACGATTATTGGGCAGATATTTTGTGGGGTTTGTATGGTATTACGATTGGTCCCAGAGGTGTTTCAGGCACAACCAAACGCGATCTGACTGGCACTAAGAGTTTCTGCTTTCACTGGCTACAGCCATGCCAAGATACCGGAAATTTTCATCCCGGGATGGCATCTAGGTAGTAGGCCCGCTTCCATTTCATTCACTCCACCAGCCAATGAACCAACCGGAAAATATGGCTGTAGCACTCAAGATTGGGGAAAGTTTGCAAGGGCGCCTGGGAAAGTACACAGTGTTGAAGAGTCTACATAAGAACATCTGGACTGCCAGGTAAGCACATGCTTAGTAGCTGTTCAACAAAATCAACCTTGGTAGCAGCAAGGACACGGAAACAGCTGTCATCAAGACCGCGCCTGTAAAGTGTCTCAATGTCTCGCTGCCGCTCACCCGAACCCTTTTACTGTATAATTTAGTTGCAAAGTTGATTCTTCTTTAATACCTAATTCCGGAAGGTTGGTATATAGCCTGCTATTCTTTCCTGAGATAATTGATTTGATACGCTACATAGCAAACAGACATAAAGACAAAGTCAAATAGTGCATCAGACGTGTGGAAAACCGATGGATTCATAGAGATGTTTGATAAGATGCTGCCTATCAAATATTACTCAATTTCAATGCTCTTTCTAATTTACTATACTGTACCCTAAGATTGTGCAACGTGTAAATTATCCGTGATAATCATGCTATGTATATTTCCAAGGAAGAACAAATGTAGATCCCTAGAAACATGCAATCTCAAAAGAAATAACTCAGGAAATAGCTTTGTTTAGAAGACTGCGTTTGTCCCAAGCTTGGATATTATCCCAGATAACAATGGATATCGTCATGTGCTCAGAATTAGCTCAGCCTTGCATAGATCTATAATGATTTCTCAGCACAGAAAAGAAAATAACTAGAGACCAATAACATCCGTTACAGCGAGTACTAATTATAGTTCAGTCTATATCGATAATCACGTATCGCATGCTGACCCGGTATAGCTTCACGATAAGCCAGCTATGATGTTAGATAGTAGCCAGGGTGACTATAAAGTACCGGACACCACTGTAGTATGTATAATATGCTGAAGTCACGGCCACAAATTCCCATACAACGCCAATGCCTTAAAATACCTCGATTCGATGGCATACGGGCTTCATCTCACGAAGAAACACAAATCTATACCTGCTTCACCGTTTTTGTGCCTCTATTATGGAACTCTAGTTGTTGCGACACAACGAGGGACAAAGATTATGAGAGGCAAAAATTGTGGAGGTGTTAAATTAACTGATTAATTGTATGTCCTACTGGCTGCGCGTGTATGGCTTTTGAATCCAGACTACGTGAGCAAGTGTATCTGAGCTGCAATGGGGGCGTCTGCGACAATCGTTCCGAGCAGAGTTGTCAGGCTATATCAACAGTCACCATCGATCATCTACTCACCTTGCTTCTCAAATTCAAACTCCTGCCATATCCCGATGACATGATGTGACGCGGTGGCTGTCATGCACGGACCGTTCACAGGGCTAGTGTCTGGTCCGTCTGCACCCGATTATGGGTCCGTCCATACTTAAATGATCTTCCAACGAGCTATTGGCAGAAATTCATAAAGAGAGTTTGTGTAATCTCATATACTTAAGTGATTGCCCGTCTAGAAGGCTTTTTTTTTAAATCCACAAGCGTATTCCGGACTTGAGGGGGTGCACCAAGGCTTGTCGTAATCAGCCAAGCTTGGACCTCACCTGGCTTTGGTGCTTACGAGTAATTTGCCAACCATCAGCGAGGCTAACCACATTTGCGTGCCGATATGTTTACATAGGCCCTTTTACATCTGTTCTTATGCCATTTTGTACCCCTTGGCTTATAACCCGATCAATCTCACTACTTTGGAAATCTACATGCCGAAAGCTCTGTCGACGAATAAGAGTTTTTTTCGCACGATGGCAACGCCGTATGAAGTCTGCTGTATCTTCAAACACTGTCTTGCGTCTCGATAAACCACGATATATACGCATGAACTCTTTCGCTAGTTTGCCTTTAGACGATTGTAGACCACGCGAACTTCTCCTGTCACTGCCCAAGAACAGTAGGGATCCACACGACCCCAGTGCGAAAAGAATAGTCGGCACATGTCAGCCATGGGTTCAGACTTTCTGACAGCCATGGCCTTTCTCCAGAGTCTTGTGGGGGAAAAGAACCAAGTGGGGAACCAAGTGATGTCGATTACCACACACTTTGCATGTACCGTAGAAGACGAACCACATTGTGGGGCCGTTAGCTCCCGCTCTGAATCATCAGATACGTACTATACTCTACCTTGGTGAGCAGATTACTGCATAGTGTTTCAATCGGTAACGAGCCGGACATCCCAAATGCTCATCATTCGCAGGGTATGAGCTTTTGATATGATCACGACAATGGAGAATTTGTTTATTCCCATTGGTGGATTAGTTCTAAGTAAGTTTTCTGGATAAAAGTCACCGAGTAATGTGCAAGGTACTCAGTCTTACACCAGTCAGCTTTGCTTCCATTGGGCCGACTCCATAGCGGTTGGCTATGCCGGCGCGGTGTGTCCGACCAAAACACCCATGTATGTGTTATCTTGTTCAAGAGGTGAACTCGAACTTTAAGCAGCCAGGGCCACGCTATACATCATTAGTACATCGCCAACAAGAAACGATCGAGATACTCAAGTTAAGATTCTCAGGGTCCGAGCGGCATCTAGCACCTGCATGTCGTCAGCACTACGCCAAGGCGTTCTACCCAAATAACGGCGCCATAAGTAGCATGGTAACCAGAATGATCAGGGCATGTTTCGGGTGTTCATTTCGGGCTTATTACAACACCTCACAGCACAACTCATTTGGTCGGTGAGCGTCAGGGATATGCTTCTCGCATACATAACTTGCTCGCACTGCTGAGCAGGAAAAAAAGTAGGATACGCATGTCCAGTCCTGAACAGTCCTTCGTTTATTTACTTAATACTCAGTCGAGGCCTCACTTTCATTAACCACGCATTACAAAATGTTGTCACTCATTGTCACCTCCCTATTTGCCCTAGCGCAGGCTGCTCCCTACCAGCCAATCCAGCCGAAAAATGTTGCTGCTCTTCCTGCCAACCTGGTGCGAGATTTGGCTACCGCTGTCGCCTTCCGTAAGACTGTTACTGGTCCTCCTGAAATCCTCGCAAACTGGACCGGCTCCGATGTCTGCCAATGGGAGGGATTTTACTGCGCCCCGAACCCCGATACTGGTATCCTCAGCCTCGCTTCCATCGACTTCAACAACCTCCACTTGACCGGCAACCTCAGACTGAACCACTTCATTGAAAATTTGCCGGATCTTGCCCTTCTTCACATCCTTAACAACAGCTTCTGCGGCCCCGTTCCCAACCTCAAGAACAGCAAATACCTATATGAAGTCGATATTAGTGAGAACCAATTCTCTGGCTTCTTCCCTAAGAACATACTCAGCAACAGCGGCCTCCTTTACCTCGACGTCGGCAACAACCAATTCACAGGCCTCCTCCCCTCAAATCTCATGTCTTCCCTCCCCGACCTCGAGGTCCTCATGGTCCGCGTGAACCGCTTCAGCGGCTTCATCCCAGACATGTTCGCCAACGCCAAGCATCTCAGAGCCGCCAGCTTCCTTGAGAACCAGTTCGTAGGCTCTATCCCCGCCAGCCTGACCAAAGTCCAGTCGCTCGAGGAACTTAGCTTCGCCACCAACAACCTTACCGGCACCATCCCCGTGGGCTTCGGCATCCTGCCTAACCTCACCGCCGTCGATTTCTCGTGGAACCAGCTTACCGGCACCGTCCCCGAGGATCTTTGCGCGAGCAAGTCGATCAAATACATCTCCGTGGCTGGCAACAAGATCGATCCCCGCCTGGGTCCTGCGTGCACAAAGGCAAAGGAAAACGGTATCTTGTTCAACTAGATTGAGATATAGAACAACGCGAGGTTAGAAGTACATGGCACTCTGAGACAAATCATACACAGTCTCAGGGCGCACAGTAATGTCTAAACCTTTATCACTTCACGATGTGGGCGCCTAGTGTAAATACGCTAGGTGCGTTTTTTATTTCAACTTAATTAGAGTAAACATTACTATTACGTTTGTACACGAAAGAAATGTAATGTCTTGTTCACCGTTCTTAGGAACCCATGCAAAACAAATCAAGAGTCTTGTTGAAAAAAAACTGGTGTTTAATCATGTGAAGAATACTAAAAAAGAAATCATCTCTGCTTACTCTGATCAACAATTGGAAGAGCCAAAAAAAGTAGGTAGGTCAAATCCACACCAAGACTGAACGGGTTTTTTTTCTCTTTTACCACGAAATACTGACATTACAATAGCAATCTTGACTTCAAGCTATGCTAAACGAATGCCCTAAACTCACTAACGTACAAGTTCGCAATCAAACAAAAAAAAACCCCCCACCTAGCAGCGCCGCAGCAGTAAAGACCGTCTTCCACATATCCTCACTACCAAATCCTATCCAGCTCTACCACCAACCGATCAAAGCAAATGGATAAAAACACTACTCTTACATTCCCCAACGAAAAAAGAAACGATACAAAAATCAAGAAGAAAAAAAAAACACGCGATTTAACCCTGGATATCACAATAACCTTCCAAAGCGAGCGCGAGCTCGAGTTCCCCACCCAAAAAAAATCTAACCCAACCCATTCCTTGGCCCAAAACAAACAAAGAAAGCAAGTTTAAAAAAAAAGAGAGAGAGAGAAAGAGAGAGAAAGAAAAATAATCCTACGCATCCCTATGAAACAAGCCCCGAAGACCAACACTCCACCTCTTCTCCTTCTCTTTCCCGCCACTTAGCTCATCACCGACACTAACCACCCTCCGTCCAACCGGCCTCTTCCCCTTCGCATGATCCTCCTCTTCTTCCTCCTCTTCCTCACTCGCACCACGCCCAAAATGCGTACTCTTTCGGGTCAAAAGGCCCAATCCATGCGGTATCTTATTCTTCTTCTTCCCCTCCTTTTCCTCCCCACCCACTCTATCATTCCCTGCAGTCACATTGCTGCCTCCAGCCGCATCGCTCCGCTCCGTCGCATACGAACTAAACGGCCTACTCCTCTTCCTGAGCAAATTCCTGCCGCGCACACTCTTCTCCCGCTCCAACCGCTCCAACTCCTTGTCTGTACTCCGCAGCGTTCGCCGCAGATGGTGCTGCGATGTCTTCAGGCCACGGAGCTGGAGGGCGGTTTCGCTGCGTTGGAGGCGGACTTGTTCGACTTGGTGGGCCCAGAGGGAGTCGGGGGTGTGGGAGAGGGTACTGGCGCGGGTGTCAGGGCGCGGGCTGCTGGAGGGGGTGCTGGGGTGGGTTGCGTGGGTGGTGGATTTGGGGGTTGAGGGGGCGGTGGAGTGGGCGGCTGGGTGAGGGGAGGTGGGGGAGGTAGCGGACCATTCTTCGAGGAGTTGGAGGTGGCTTAGTTTTTCTTGGAGGGTGGAGATGAGGGATTCAAAGGTTTGTTTATCGGTTTGGAGGGAGGCGAGTTGGTGTTGGAGGGTGGTGAAGGAGAGGGTCTGGGTTTCTTGGTCGTGGCGGAGTTGGTCGAGTTCTGATGTTTTTCTTGCCAATTCGGCTTCTAGGCGGACTGTGTTTTCGTGGTCGCTTCCTAGTTGTTGATGCTCTTGTTCGTACTTCTTCTTGAGGTCGTTGTACGCGGCATTCATTGATCTCATTCGCTCATCGGCTGATGACCCGAGTTCTTTAATGTATTTCTCCTTTCTCGATAGCTCTTCCGCTAGCTCATCCTTGCTCTTCTCTAGTGCACCCATTTCATCGGTTTGACTACTGATCTGTTCGTGCAGATCAGAGTTCTCTTTGGTAAGAGTCTCAAGCTCGCTGTTCTTCTCGCAAAGTCGATTCCTGTATCGTGACTTGGAACTCTTCGCAGCCTCAAGTTTAGCTTCAGAGTCTTCTACAAACTCCAGATAGCGCTTCTCGGTATCCTCGACGGCGGAATAGGCATTGGCTATGTCTGACTCGACGCTTTCAAGGAAGGCCTCCAAGTCGGCATTTGTCTGGCGCGCATTCTTCAATTCTTCTTCCGCCGAAGCAAGACGTGAGATGAGTTCTCTCTCGGAAGCCTCAAGTTTGACATTCGTATCGCGCAGTGAAATGAGCTCTTTGTCGGCTTCGAGAAGCCTTTTGAATGCATCCAAGCTCTCAGACTCTGCAATTTTAAGACGCATTTGAGCTGCGCGGAGTTCAAGTTGTAGCTCACCAGTCTGATGGGACGTACTTTGCGAAGACTCCTCAAGTTTGGCATGTTCCAGTCGCAGGATGTTCATCTCTTGGTCGCTTTCCGACAGTTGAGCAACCAAGTTGGCACAGTTGGCTTCGAGCTCGGCTACCCGTGAATGCGTATTTGATAAATCTTCTTGAAGAGATTCATTGTAGTTTTCAGACCCCTCGAATTTAGCCTCCAACTCAGTTCTCACTTGTCGCGCTGCATCTAGCTCTGTCCTAGCATTTGCAAGCTCGATTTTGAAAGAAGAGTTTTGCGATTCAAGCTCATCAAGGCGGGAACGAGCCGAGGAAAGACTTTGTTCCGTACTCGCCGAGACCTCCAAGGCTTTGCTCAGCCTCGCTTCTACATCACCCTTGAGCTGCCGAAGTTTTTCTAGTTCTCTTTCGGCTTCCCTTAGTTGTGACGTAAGCTTATCATTTTGAATATTTGCCTCATCCGTCTGTGAGCGAGCTGCAGTGAGGCTCGCCTCTAGCTCGCTGTTCAAACCCACGGTATTGTCGAGCTGACGTTTGATAGCTTCATTACTTTGTCGAGCAAGTCTAAGCTCTTCCTCCAGACGCGCATTATCGGCATGTGTCTGCTCGAGTCGCTTCTCCATAGCTGCCTTTGCGCGACACAGAGCTTCTAATTCTTCCTCGCTAGATGCCAGTCTCGTTTCGAGCTGTGAGATCTTGTGATGGGCATCCTGCAGTTGGAATCGCGTGCTTTGCAATTTCTCGTCAAGCTCCGAATGAAATTCTTGAAGAGAAGTAAAGCTTTGCTCAGCATTTAGTTTCGATTGTTGGAGGGCTGCGATTTGACTTTGTAGAGTAGCTAGTTGTACCTGAATGCCATTCGCTTCTGATTCTGATTTCTTTATGTCGTCCTGCACAGAGCGTAACTGATCTTCCAGATATGACTTGGAGCTGATGGCTTCGTCGAGTTCTTTTTGTAGTTGATCTTTGGCCATATCCGTATCATGGGCTTGCCTGCGAAGCTCCGCAAGATTTGCAGCAGTTGTCTTGCCGTCTGACTGCGCAACCGACAAAGCTGTTTCAGCCTGCGCCCTCGCGTCATTACTCTCCTTTAGTGCAGCCTCCAGATCCAATAAACGATCCTTGAGTGCACTAATTTCCACGGTCGATGCAGCTAAGCGTTCTTCAAGAAGCGACTTGGATTGTTGGCCCTCCGTCAAGTTGCTCTCCAATTCTCCGATCTTAGCTTGCAAGTTATCACGGTCACTCTGTGTTGACCTGAGCTGCGACTGGGCTTTGCAAATTTGACCCTCAAGTTCCGCTTTGACACGACGAGCCTCTTCAAGCTCGCCTTCGGTAATTCTTTTGGATTCTCGTAGATGGCCAAGCTCTTCACGAAGAGATACTTCTAGTTTCTCTGATGACTCCAGGACAGATCGAAGATTGAGTATCGAGGCCTCGAGTTCCCGGAGATGTTCATTGCTCTTTTCCAGTTCCGCAGTATGTTTCTTGTCGCTTTCTTGCTTTGCATTGCGCATCTGCTTCAGCTCTTTCTCGAGTGATGATGTCTGCTTCTGTGACTGTCGGAGCTTTCCCTGTAAATCCGCACTCGTCGATTGCATCTCTACAAGTTCATTGTCTTTCATCCGGACATCCTCACCAAGTTTGAATCCTAGCTGCCGTACATTCTCAAGATCAGCTTCCAGTGCGGATTTTTCGCTCCGTAGCGTCTCCAGATTTGTTTGGGCAACGCCATCAGCTGCCTCCAATGCTTGAACACGCTCAAGAGCTTGCCGGAGTTTGGTTTCCGTGTTGTTGTAAGACGTGCGCAAGTTTTCCAACTTCTCCTCCAGCTCTTCCTTTGCCTTTGTTTCTTGCTCCAAAAGTCCCATGGTGGCGCGCAACTCGTTTTCCGTCCTAGCCTTCCCACTCTGTACGTCCTCGAGTTCACTCGTCAAACCATCACGTGTCTCAGTCTCGGTACGCAACTTTTCCTGCAACAACTCAAACTCCTTTTTCATATCCGCTAAGGCATTTTGAGCATCCTTTCTCGTCGCCTCTGCACTGTGTAGTTGTTCACGCAACTGAACAATGACATTTCCTCCTATCTTGATCTTCCGGGCATGCTCGGCGGCTTCCGCATCGTACTCGTTGACTTTCTGCTCAAGATTTCGAATGTCTTCCAAGCCTTGGTCAACTCTCTTCTGCAAATATTCACACTCATTCTCATTTTCTGCAAGGCGGTCTTGAAGCGACGATTCGTTGCGCTGGACGTTCTCGAGCTCATCGCGTGTGGAGCGTAACGTCTGCTCGAGAGCAATAGTGCGAGCCTTGAATTTTTCGACCTGGTTATTTTGCATCTGGACATGCTCATCAAGTTCGATCTTTTCCTTCTGTAGCAGGTCAATCGTGTGCGTCATATCCGCATCCTTCTTGTCCCACGCTGCAAGTTCTTCAATCTTGTCTTGCAGTTTCTGTTTCAAGAGTTCTTCGGAATCCAAGGTCATGCGCAGATGCACCTTGGTAGCTTCCAACTCTTTAGCTAAACTGCTTCTTGAGCGCTCTAGAGAAGCAATTTGTGATTGGTGATGCCGTATCTCCTGTTCCAATCCGGCCTTGGCCGCTGCCAAAAGCCTTCCATCTTCCTTGCTCTCCGCACACTCATTTTGGAGTTGTTCAATACGCCTCCGGCACGCAGCAAGAGCTTGGTCTGATTCACGCTTGGCTCGTATCAAACGACTATCAGACGTGCGAATCTCGAATGCACTTCCGAGGCGAGGAGTGAGCGGAAAGTCGACATCATGCCATGGAGACGCGGACGATCGTGTCGGAGTCTTAGGAGAACCAAACGGGCTATCAGGAGCACTCGAGCGTGTTGGTGGAGATGGAGGCGGGGAAAGGAAACTGTTTCCATGATGATGTCGTGGCTCTTCTTTTGGGGTTGAATCTGTCGCACTGATTAGATGAGTTGGTGCAAGAAAGCGGCTAACTTACATTGAAGTGTCAGCATGGAGGCCCTTTCCAATGCTGCGAGAATCTCCTTGTTACGGTCTTCTTCGATTCGCAGCGCCCGCTGCAACTGCTCAACTCTATTTTGTGCATCTTTGCCGTCGAGATAGTGATTTGTTCTGCTCTTGGCAAGGTTTCGGGCAGTAGTCGCAATCTGCTTCTCCTTCACGGATATACTAACGGCCATGCGAAAGGCCAGACGACGTAACGACGATACTGACCGCTTTGCCTCGGCGCCAGCAATCTGATGTGCTTTCAGTTCGGCGCGAAGCGTATTGCGTTGGGCCTTGATGTAAGATAGATGGGCCCAGTTGGCTATAACATGGGGGGCATCCTCCTCCTTGGACTGTGGGTTGTGGGTATCTTCTCCATCGTGTTCAGATTTGGAAACAAAGGAAGAGGAGCGGCCCCAGTGTTCCTGCATGAAACTGCTTGACATGGACGACACGGATCGTGACACGCTGGACTGTGGGGTGGCAGATGGCCGCGAGCGTGGAGACGACTTTGGCTTGTTCTCTTTGGGAAGACTGCCAGCGCATTTTTGCATATCGAGGAAATTAGTAGGCAAAATGCTCTCTAGTCCCGAATGCGTACGGCTGGCACTTGGAGGGTCCTTGTCCGTGGCCTTGGAACCTGGCGCCATCGTGGGCGGTGGTTACACGACCATGAGGTGACCAAGCTACGACTTATGCCAGATAACGGCCAAAACTCTTTGTTCAATGTGGCTGGGGGGGAAGAACTATTCCGACAGCCCCGGCAGCGATGGCGTTGGGACGCTGGAACGGATGGGGTTAAGAAGGTGGTGCGTTGTGGGCCACCCTCACGCAAGAAGCGGGACTGGGACGAGGAAAAACAGGGATGTGGTGAGAATAGGGAAAGAGATGAGGAGACTTTAGGATTTGGGATCGACTTCAATCAGAGCATGCACGTAGAAAGACAAGATAGTATCTTGGGAATAATAGAGATACACACAGCCTGAGACTGAGAAGAGCAAAAGATGGCCTGATGGGCAGCAGCGATTCACGCCAGGCCCAGGTATGACGATATACAATCCGGGGGTTCCATAAGGCAGACCCATGGTTCTTCGCGATATTTTCCGATCGAGGGCATTGGCGCGCCTCAAATGCATGGGTAAGCCTGGACGGTTGGGTTACTGTCGTGCCGGACTGGCCGCCACGAATCTTGGGCGTCTTGGTGGGTCGAGGGTGGGGAGACAAGATCGCATGTGCATGCCCCTCAGCATGTGCACATGTGCGCAGTGACCATGGTTCGCATCGCTTCTGCGGTGCCATGCGGTGTAAACGCTGCTGCTGCTGCTGCTGCTAATAATTAGAGTACGGCCCCCTACAGCAAGTAGAGAACATGTTACCGTCGTTTGGTCCGAGGATGCAGCGGCGGAACTGCGGAAGTCAACCTTGTCGTTTTGCCGCGGGAGCACTGGGTACTGCCCGTGGTGTGATATCATTCGTGATCTCTAGCAGGCTTGAATCGATCCTGCCATCTAGTCGGAAGTCGTTCTGCGCTGGCGTTGCAGGATGAACAAAAAAACAAATATATAGCAAGAAAAAGGAAAACAGCGGAAGCGTCAAAAACAAAAGGTTCTCCGTGGCTTTCAAGCCAGGCAATATTTTGGTTCATTTTTTTGGTAAGTTGGTCATCGTACTAATCATCTATTTCGTGTACTTCTTCTGCAAATGCTTCGCAATAGTCGTCAGCTGGATGTTGCTTGTTCCCTCATAAATGGCGCCAATCTTGCTGTCCCTAAAGTACTTTTCAGCCAGGCCCTCTCTTACGAAGCCCATTCCGCCCATCCATTCGACTGCTTGCCCGGACACACGTCCGGCAACCTGCGATGCCATAAGCTTGGCCATGGCTGCATCCATGACGAAGTCCTCGCCAGCCTCCTTCTTGCGAGCGGCGTTGAAGACAAGGGCGCGAGCAGCCTGAATGTCGGTCCAGGCTTGGGCAAGCTGGTGCTGCATACCCTGGAACTCGCCAATGAGTTGGCCAAACTGCTTGCGGTCGTTCCATGCATAGCTATAACTGTTAGCGTCTGACCACTCACAATGGAACCATGACGATGAGACTCACCCTGCTGCATTTTCCCAAGCACCCAGTGCCAGGCCGGTCATTTGTGCTGCAATACCAATGCGGCCTTCATTAAGCAACCCAATGGCGTATTTGTAGCCCTCGAATTCCTTGCCTAGCAAATTGTCCTTGGGAATCTCAACGTCGTCAAAGTTGAGAACACAGGTGCTGCTGGCTTTGATACCCAGCTTCTTCTCCTTCTTGGCAATGGAGAAGCCGGGGGTGCCCTTTTCGACAATGAATGCAGTGATGCCCTTGTACTTCTTGCTGGGGTCGAGATTGGCAAAGACAATGAAGAAGTTTGCTTCAACGCTGTTGGTAATCCACATCTTGTTGCCGTTGATCTTGTAGCCATTTTCTGTTCGCGTAGCCTTGGTGGCGAGTGCAAAGGCGTCAGAGCCAGAGACGGGCTCAGATAGACAGAATGACCCAACTGTGTTGGTGGCCAACTTGGGCAGCCACTCCTTCTTCAGCTTCTCGGAGCCCCACTTGATAATGGCAGTATTGACTAGCGTGTTGTGCACGTCGCACAGAACGCTCACACTTGGATCGACGCGCGCCAGCTCTTCGATGGCGATGATGGCCGAGGTGAAGTTCATGCCCGAGCCGCCGTACTCTTCGGGTATCTCGATGCCCATGAGTCCCTGCTCAAACAGCTGCTCGACTACCGCTGGATCCATGGCCTCGGCCTCATCCATCTCTCGGGCCTTGGGCAGTACGACATCATTGGCAAACTTGGACACCGAGTCGCCCATGAGCATCTCGGTCTCCGAGAGGTGGGTGATGGGCGTCGGCGGCACATCTGAGATATCGACAGCTTCTCGCCGGGAAGGAGTCATGGAGAGACATCGTATTCTGGCCCGCCATCGCGTTAGTTTTTGCTTTGGCTATATTGGACACTTTTTTTCGGTGGATTCAAGACATACTGCGGGGCGGGGCGGACTGCTGGTCGCAGCGAACGCGACGAAGCCGTAGCAACGCGGGTGAGCGGTCGTAGTGATCGTGAGAATGAGGCCATTGTCAAAAATATGTGTGGGAAGAATGGGAACCACAGGGCGCGATTGTATCCAAAGCCAGTTGGCCATGGACCGCCGCCCACATGCCGAGGCACCTCAAAAGTTAGCCGGCGCAGGCCGCACGCCCGCATGTCCGGGGTTTGCGGAGAAGAGCTCGTCGTTGATCACATGCTAGAGCCGCTACACACCGACGTCATCGATTTGCAGGCATGGCCACGGGGATTAGAGCAGAGCCGCACCTGGACTTGACATGGTGTTGAGTAGTCGTGTGGTTGCAATGTCCAAAAAGATATAAGAGATTCAGAGCAGAGGCCCTATTGGCAATATTACAGCAAGGGTATATATAAGTATGTGTGCGAGAGAAGCAAGTAAATATATCGTGACCATAACATGACAAGGCAACGGCAGTTCCCCGTGCAAGAAACTGCAAACCATTGGTAACAAAGAGAGACCCATCTCAATTAAAGACTGTACAATAGGAGCTCCCAATCAGTGCCTTTGCGCAATCTAAACGCGACCGGCACCGCCGCCGACGGCAAACCGGCCAGCCTGCATCTGCGACTTGTACTCGCTTAGCTCGGCGGCCTCCTTTTGCTCCTCAGCCAAAAGGGCCTCGTGTTCTTTTCTGCCAATGCGGCGTTGCTTGATGCAGCAGAAGAGGATAACAAGAGCGCCAATGACAAAGGCTGAAACAGCGCCGATGACAATGCCGGCCTTGGCGCCGCTGGATAAAGCCGCGAAGCGGTTCCTGACGCCGTGAGGTGACTGGATTTCCTCGAGCACTTCAGACTTTCCCCTGCAGATCGTTAGTTTCATACTACAACCGAGTAGGTGCGGAGGGGAAAAATAACGTACTCAATGACCTTGACCTTGTCCCAGTTACCAGATGAGTCCATGTTCGCCCACGAGTACTTGGCAGCGCTCGTGTAATCTTCAGCATACACTGACTGGATGGTCATGGTGTACGGGCCCTTGCTGAAGTCGGTTTTACCGCCGGCCCATTCGACAACACCGGGGTCGTTCTTGCTTGGGTCACCAGCAGCCCATGCACCGAGTCGGACGTTCATGGGTGTCTGGGGGTAGCGGGTTCCTCCCTTGGCCTCTTCGGGTGTAAGAGTCCTAATATTCTTGCCGTCTACAAACCACTCAATGCGCTCCTTGGTCCAGTTAATGGTGTAGTTGTGGAAGCCATCTTGTGGCGCAAAGTCAAGCTCAAAGTCCTTGCCGCGGTCGTAGGTCGAGGTATCTCCCTTGCCAAAGTAGTTGGTGAGAATCGTCTTCTTGTCGCCGATGAACTCCCAGTCGATCTCGTCGAGCGCCTCAGACTGCAGGATAGCGCTGGAAATGATTCCGGTGCCGGTAGCCACCTTCATGATGACTTCGAGACGTCCGAAAAGCATGTAGAAGACCGAGTTGGCAGTGGGTGAGTCACCCGATCGTTCAATAGTAAAAGTTGCGCCCTTCTCAACCCAATCGATCTTGCCCTGGTTCGGCATCTTCCAGATCTTGTCGTCCTGTGTGATACCTGTCTTGTTCCACAGAAAAGTCACATTGCCACCGAGGGCCTCCATGTCGGGGCATCCTGTCGTGTTGAGCGGGTAGCCTTTGAACGTTAGCGCCTATCCTGCTTGATGCTGGGGCAAATGCGATGTACAGTCTGTGTGCGTCTGCGCGGTAGTCGTAGAGACTAGGCCGGCGATGATTGCGGCCGCAGAAACGGCGAAGGACTTCATGTTTGCGATTATCGTATGCGCGAGTGTGTACCGAAGGAGTGTGGTGTCGCGCGTAGACCAGACGCGCTGAGGGTGGTGTTTGGATCAAGGAATGACTGCGAGCGCTTTGAACGCGGAATGGAATGAGTGGACTCTCACAAGGAGAAAAGGAAAAACGAGGGGGGAATTCTTTTTCAAGGGAGCGTCAGAAGGGCGTTTTGAGATTCGGCAGGTATGGGACCTTTGGGGTAGAGCCGGGCAAGATTTAAGGAGTCGTCTAGTGCCATGGTGCTCCCTGCGCATTGCCATTGGTCAACGGACGTTAAACTACAAACAGCGCTTGCCGATCGCCCAGCATAGACCCGTCTTCTCCTGAACATTATGAGCCACTGAGTGTATAATGCTTCGCAGCAGGCGCCTACATTCAACAGTGCAGTGTACTAGGACTTTTGACAGCGGGTGTCTAACGCTGACAAAGGGTCACAGACGATGCGCCCAACCATGTAGTGTAAGTACATGTGTAGCCCCTCCAGGGACCATGTCTCAGATGCAGTCAGCGCGGGAAGGCTTCACGCCAATTCGGGAGCCAAGAGGTTATGAAACGCCAGGCAGTCTGCGCTAGACGGCCCTTGCTTGAGGCGCCGAATAGTGCCGTGGCGATAGCGATTACCAAGGTGGGAATTGTCTTTGGCCTTTTGCTTTCTCGTTGTGCATGGGCTGCACAGCCGCCTTGACCCACTAATCAGTAGGTGTGCGCCACTATCTAAGAACCGAGATTGCCGTGCGACCTCCTGGAGACTTGGTGATCAAGGGTGGTTGATCATCCCGAAAGGGACTCTCATTTCTCAGTCATTGCATGAAACGGAGTCATTTGACCATGCCGGCTCGGCACCGGCATGGTCAACAGTGCAAGCCACGATGTTTTCCAAGCCTTCACCTTTGTTCCGTAAGTTGCGGAACTTTGTCGGGCAATCGCTAATGTGACAAATTTCCCAATACGCATACAAAGACCGGGCCGCTCCAACTATGTAAATCTACCGTTTGATCTCCCGTTAGAAATGACGTGATTTCTCTGTGCTTCATTTGCGGTACTGTACTACCGCAATTCCAGATAATTTGACAGAGCCTGTGTTGGCTAGCCATTCCTTTCTGAGTATCGTCGACTCAAGCCGCCATTGTGAGGTGCTTGAGTCCTGTATTGGATGAGCTCTACGTGCTCTACGTTGCGTACATGGCTTGGCTTGGTTGTCTCTTTACCTGCAAGTCATCCATCCGTATTTCTGAAGCATGGCATTGAACATGAGTATTCACGTAGATGCGGGTCCTTTGTCTCTTGACATTCTCTACACGGGACTTGGGTGAGCCTGGTTGCCTAAAGCATAGGGGGAGCTTTGTCAGAATATTGGATTCAATCAAATCCCTGTTTGCTGGATTGTCTTCTTTGTTCGAATGCGCGATCTGCTTCGCTGCCCTCGAATATTCCCCGCAGTGTCGGCATTTTCGTCTCTACGTAGTCATTCATAATTTTGAGCACGCGGGCGGGCGTTCGATGTGCATTGGGTGGGCGCTTGCTGATATCGCTCAGCCCTAGATGTGGCACTGTCTTTGCCAGGTCTTCTTGAGCCATGGTCTTCGTTGGGCTGAACTGCTTCCAGAAGGGTTGGCGCTGGATGTAATCTTGATGCACAGTTCGTGAATGATCTATGGTTACTTGGAACCATTTGGACTGCTTGATTTGTTTCTCTGAGGGCGCTGGTGACTCGAATGGCATGGGAGTTGGCTTAGAAGTTGGCTTGGTCGTGGGCGTGGATTGCCAGGAGCGGGTTGCGAGCTGCGAGGGACGCAGGATCTCGTCGATGCCTTTGGTGTGCTGTGTTTGCTCGGTTGACGAGTTGTCTATGTCACTGCCTTCTTCTTCTTCTTCTTGTGATGGAGAGGACTGTGATGGGTGGGTGGTGGTGGGAGAAACCACTTTTTCCAAGGCGAAGCGGAGGGGCGAGGCGTCGAGGGCGCGCTGAGCGGACCTTTCGTCGCGATAGATGGCAAGAGCAACATTGTCTGCAGGGTTTTGGTATTCGTACTATGAAGAGTCAGACTCGGTTTCTTTGCAGAGCAAGAAGCTGTGCGCAGCGCAGGCAAGATGGGACGAGAATGACGCACCCGCAGATACTTGAAGGTATCGAGTTCACCAAACTTTTGCAGCATACGGTATATTTCCCGACTCTCTGAGAGGTTGGCTGGGCGGGGGACAATGCGTATGTGGATGGAGCGCGGGGCCAGGGCCCGTCGGAACGACATGGCGACGGCGGGAGCGACGGCGGGAGCGACGGCGGTGGGAGTGGTGTTGTTGGTGAGACCAAGGGTTGTTCGGCATTGGCAGCGGTGCGGCGGTTTAGAGTGGGGCACAAATTTACCAGGACGCAGGTTCACAGGATGCGCGGGTAACGTAGGGCTGAGTCGGATTGGCACACATCACCAAACAAGACGAGTGCAAGCCAAGTGTGCATGTTGTGCAATGATGCAATAGTATTAAATACATAATGTAGCGCAACAACGGCCCTCGGCTCGTCGCATGCTACAGCGTCTAGCTCAACCCGTAGGGAGCATTTCAGAGAAGCAATAGATATAAGTGTGTGTGTAGAACGAGTAGTACCATGCACCCGTGTCCATAAGCCCGTTCTATGACGCGGCCTCATGGGCTAATACCCATGGTAGTCCAACAAAGATCAAGTGGTATATTGCGCCTGTTATGTGAAACGAAAACCCAAAACGCCTTGGCTATGCATGCAATGAAATGCAGAAACAGAGTCGGACTTTGAGGCCGACTACTTGCACACGCCGTTCTCTCGCGAACGCTTGCGCATGCGCACCATCTTTGTGACGCGGACGCTGCTCTCCCGGCGATCAGATGCCCGCCAGACTGGGGTGGCGATGGTTGCCTCGATGCGCTTGACGGGAAGGTCGTAGTCCATGTCAACCGCCTCGTCGTGGGCAGAGGACGCGGTCGGTGGACATGTCGAGGATGCAGGGGTGACGGTGCACTGCTTCTCAGCCTCGATCATCTGGACGAGCTTGGAGATGTCGCGGGCGTGCGAGGAAGTGCACTGCATGCGCGATGTGTGCTGGCGCTGCATGCGCAGGATTGAGGCTGAGATGCGCGAGTAGGTGGGGCGTGGGTGTTCGTGCACGCATTCGGTGATGGGCGAGGACGGGCTCCTGTCGCAGTCGCTGTCGGGCGTGGGAGGACGCGCGGGGCCACAGGCGACGGACGAGTCGATGCGGAGGGTCTGGTGGTTGAGCTGGAGGGCGAGGTCGCCCATTGTGCAGGGCGGCGTGGGTGGGCGGCTTGGGTGCTGTGGGAGCAAGGCTGGCGATGTAGGCGATACGTTCATGGCAGCCCGCTCGGCCTCATACGCGGCGTAGGCCGGGCGGGGAACGGGGTCGAAGGAGAAGTTGCGGAACATGGTGGCCATTGTGTCGTGTGTGTTGGGGCGGATGTGCAGTGCAGTGCAGTGCGTGTACATGTGAATGGATGTACATGTACTGTTGCGAGGTACTGTGTATGTAAGTATGTATGTAGGCAGGCAGGCAGGCAGGCAGGCGGCGCCAGGGTGCTATGTATAAGGCGGGCTGTCCGCGCTGGCCGTGGCTTGGACGATGGCGCTAGGACGAGGCGAGGCCAGCACGCCGGGACGTCAGCCAGCATCCACGCCAAGCCATCCATGTCATCCATGTCCACTGCCCCATCGCGCCCCAGCGGCCTGTCTGGCTCTCTTGCCAGCAGTCTTCTGGAATCGCTCCAGTCATCGCCGCCCACTCATTGGCTGCCACGCCCGCTGGCCAGGTTCGCCCGCTGGCTGTCCTCGAGTGCGAGCCTCTCTGCCACTCATGCTGCACCCAGCTCCCGCTCCAACAAAGGGGCGCCCGCTGCTGGCCGCTGGCGATCAAAGCCTAATTGTCATTATTCCCGACACCACACGCCCTCTTACCCTCCGCTCTCACACACTGGCACTCGCTCCTGCTCGCTGGTGGCGCAACTCTGTACGCGATCGACACTGCTAGCCACGGCTAGCCACTGCTAGCCATTCGCCGCCGCACGCTGCAACACAAGGTCGACACACTCACACTTTGACCCTCTGCCATGCCGCCCTCCTCCACACGTTTGCTGAAACCGTCTGCGTCCTTGAAATTGTCCCGTCCGTGTGTCTGGAGCTGTTTGTCTGCACGCCCCCCCCCCATGACCCCGTCGCCCCTATCGCGGCTGCTCGTCTTATTTAGAATTCACTCCCTCTCATGTCCAATATTACGTCTTACGCCTGAACCCTCGCTGTCTTGCTCACGGCACTAACGTGGCTTGGGTCACATCGCTCTCCACGTTACATCTGAACTCGCTGCTCCAGTCACGGCCATGCTCCGACAATCTGGCTGCACCATCCGTCGCCACCACGGCCGCCAGCTGCCAGAGAGGCCATGAGGCCCGCCTCCAGGTCTTGCCTGGGTTCCCTGCTAGACCCGTATTGGCGATCGGCATGCATTTCCGCACGACGTGGCTACTGCTACCCACCCAAATGCCGCACGCTGACCCTTCCAGATCCCTGGTCTGCAGCGTCCATCATTGGCCGCTGCACTAACCACCCGAGAGCCGCACTCGGTTCACCCAGTCACCGGAACCACTGTTCATGCCTCACCAAGTCTGCTCATTTCGTGCCATCTCCTGAACCCTTCCGCTCCAATTCCCGCCTTCCCCGTCACCCAGTGCACAGCGCTGGTCCAAGCAGCCAATCACCGCTCCCCCACTCGGCCCTACTGGCGTCCTGTCGACCCCGGCAGTGAATGTCCTTTGTTGCAACAAACGCGCTTCCTTGTAGCAGAAACCTTTGTTGCCGTCTCTTTAGTCCCTCTTCAGTCATGGCCTCACCACTTTCACTCTACACTACTACTCAAACTGACCGCGGAGCTCAACAAATACCAAATCCTTCTCTGCTAACAAGTACCATGACAAAAAACAGCATTGTGTGGAAATGAGCTTGCACTTGTCAGTTTCTTTCAGCTTGTTAGAGTCTGGGCTGCATACCCGAAGGCGGAAGATCGGCAAGGAGACTTTCTACTTTGCAACACTACAAGCTTAGTGAAGCAGATCTTCGAACGAGAAGCTTCTTCTTCCTTTCGAGACCATGCGCAGCCCATTCCACCGGATCCCCGCAGACACAGACAAAGGCACGCGATGAACCAGCGCTACTGTGTACACCGACCCTGCTCTACTACACTACACCTAGATACTTGCGATCGCGTCCTGCACACGTCTCAGGACCCAGATAGACTTTGCACAATCTAGATTAGAGCAAGACGTTGATGCGACGCCGCAATCATGCATGCCAAAGAGCGCCATCATGCTTTGACTGAGTTGGCAGCCTTGTACCTACAGCATCAATGGCACTTGTTGGCGATTGGCCAAGCTGACTGTGCATGAGCCTTGGGCCGAGGAAGCCCCACCGCTGACAGAGGTCAACCTCGTCTCTTCCGTCCCCCCGGTAGCATTTCATGCCCAAAGTCTGCCTGGAAAACAAGGAGCCATTGACAGCGCACACCTGGCCGCGGTGGAAACACGACAGTGCAACAAAGGAGTCGGATCTCGAGCACCTGTTCCGCCTGCCTTTTATTGAAGCGGAAACATGGCGCGCCTCCGGATGCTCGTGCGCGACGTTAGACCCTGGGGACGTTGCGAGCAGACCCCCAGCTGCGCCACGTGGCGCTATCCTTTTGAATTGAACAATCACCGCACTAGCCCTTCGCGGCAACACAGTTCCGTAACCCAGGGGCAGGAATCCCGAGTCCTCTCCTCTCGACGCGCGTGGCATGGCGACATTCGCCGAAACAAAGAAAAAAAAAGAATTGAAAACCACGCAATTATACTATGCGCTGGCCAGTAGCAATAACACCCAACGTTGCAATATCAGAACCTTACCGTCTCTCCGGACCCGATTGTTTCGTACCGGAAGACCTGCCACCCCTCCCCTCCACCCTTGACCGCTCCAACCGTCTGTGCACTGCATGGCGTGCATAGTGAGATACACAAGCATATTGTGACTAGGATCTCTCAATCTTATCGCTTGACCGCCTCACTGTTCGGGTTGCCCTCCGCATTGCAAACGGCTATCATGGGCCCACTTCCTGGCAAAGAAATATCTCCTATCCTCCTTGCTTCCTTCATGTCAAGTGCTATACGTCAGATTTCAATAACTTAGCCCCATGGGGAACCCTTCCGTTTCAGATACCTCGGCCAATAACCCTACCGTCAAGAGGAAGAGGAGACGGCTTCATCCCCTTCGGCGAATTGCAAAGCTCATCCTCGGAAACCCAAAAACACCCAGCACCAGGGAACAGATACGAGACCACGAGCAGGGCAAAGCATGTCACGGCCCGTCTAAATGGCACTACCTGCTTCCCTTTCTCGAGCCGCTCATTTCGCTCGACCCCAAGCTGTCATTTATCGAGGACCGCATCCTCCGACGACCTCCGCAGCCCAAAACGGAAACAGAGCTCTCTGAGGCCCCACGAAACCTTGATGAGCTGAGAAGAGACGTACAAGAAGCAGATGTACCATGTGAATGCGACGAATGCGCGCCCAAGCTCTACAAAATCACCACGACCAAATCGCATGGCATCATCAAGGATCAATTGGCCAACACCAACCGCGCCCGGCGCTCCAAAGGCCTATTGTATGAGAACCAGCCCAAGCAGGTCAGTCCAGGATCGTACCTGCGACTGCGCTTTCGCGGCGACTATGAAGCCATGACACTAGTACGACACCACATGGCGTGGCTCGACGCGACCTACCTCCACCCCTCCGCGCACATTACGCCAGCCGTCCACCAACTGCGCAGCCTCCTCAAAGCGTGGCATCCGCAAATCACCGGCCTGGACATGCGGCGCACGCTCTCCATCGCGCAACTAACCACACTCTTCACACACCTAAACCGCGTCTTCTTCTCGGGCTGCGTCCCCACGCACAATGCCACCTTAACAGCAGGCTTCTCGTACCTCCCCGAGCAGCAACGCGACTGCTTCGGCAAATCCCTCTTCAACCCTCTAATCGGCACCCAGATCCTCGTGCATCCCACCTTGTACCGCGGCGCCGGCACACCCAGTCACCACCCGGACATCCTGCGCCTGAACAACCGCCTAGGCACCATTATCCACGAGATGTGCCATGCATTTCTCAAAGCATATTCCTGCCGCTCATGCTCTATGCACGAGGCGTGCGACGGCGCAACGGGACATGGCCGCGCGTGGCAGCTGCTCGCCAAGAAGCTTGAAGAAGCGGCATGTGTGGTTCTAGGCGGCGAGGTCGATATGGGTCGCGGTCCTAGTTTGCTAAGGGAAATCGCGTGTAGTGGGCGCCTCCCGAGTTGTCATGATCTCGAGGCGTACGGTATGAACGTGGTCCAAGCGCCGCCGACGCCTGTGTGTGTCGAGAAGAAAGAGAGGTGGACGGTGAGATTGGCGGGATGAAAGATGAAAGTCGAAGACGGTGGAGATTTTGGAGATTCGGGAAATAGAGGAAGAGGAGGAACATGGTTTGAGTTGTTGATTTCGGAAGAAAAAGCCCAGGAGGTTCCTCCCCCCCCCCACCTACACACACACTCGAAGATCCGCCTGGCGCGCGCACACGCCCGTCTGTCGATTTTTGCGGATGTAAAGAAGGAAGATGTTATATACCCATACAGACGAAATTCCCTTGCCGTCCGTTTCGAGAACGAGGACTTACCAAGCTGGCCTGGACGGTGAATCTTTTGCCTCCCCATGTTGTTGTTGTTTTTTTGGGTTACAGCGGCCGCCGGTCCCGCTAGAGGTGACATTCGATTTACCCGCCATTTACGAATTTTTGATATTTTTTTTCTTGCAATAGATTCAATGCTTAGGTCACGCGCGAGCGAGATGAATAGATAGAGTTTTTTTTTCTCCAACAATCTAATCTTATAGATTTATTGATTTATTTTTCCTCCAAGTAAAGGTCCTTGATAGATTTTATAATCAAAGTGGAGTGAAAGTGAAAGAGAGTCAGTAGTCGTAGAAGAAGAAGTAAGAGGTCATGATGATTGTTTGCTTTTAAGAAATAATCCAGGAAAAAGTCATAAGTCGTGATATAGGTAAATGAGGGGAAGGGGGTATCAGGCAATGGCCGCTAAGAACTCCACCAGATGGTATGGGGAAAAAAAGACAAAAAGGAGGAACGCCTAGGTACATGATGAGCGAATGTATGGTATGGACATCCGTCAAAAAAAACCCAGAAGAACTGAAAGAAAGAAAAAAAAAGATTCTCCCTTTTGTATAGAAGAAGACAAACCCATATGAACACCCAAATAGTCACACCCACATACACATACACCCAACAAACCGAGACAAGAAATCAAAAAAAAAGGAGAACCACACATCCCCAGGACCAGCAGAAAAACCGAGGGTTTAGTCACTAAGATCAATAACCTCGGCATCAACCGGTATACTCGAGAGCCTCGACACCGACGACCCGGGTATCGCATAGGCAGTAGCAGTCGTAGGCGTAGCAACCTTACCCTCTTCAGACTCGCGCCGCTGCACTGCGCCACCGCCCTCGGCCTCATCTTTAACCCTCCACGTCCCATCCTGCAGTACAACAATCTGTCTTGTCTCGCTCAATCCCCTCGCTTCAAGCGCCATGTTGACATGCTCGATAAAGCCATCGTGGACCAGCACATTCGGTCTGGCGTCGGTGCCGCAGATTGGACATTTCCATTGGTCCACGGGGGACACATGGCTTTTTCCCAGTCGAGAGCGCAAGAAGATGTCGAGGTCGAAGCAGTCGTTGTGGAGACAGAATCTGCTGCGGACGGGGGTGTCACAGAGTGTGGATTGGCTAAAGGGTTCGCGGAGGTTGATGGTCATGTTGCTTTGGACGATGTGGAGGTCGTCATCGTCGTCGGTAGCCGCGGTAGCGGAGGAGCCTGAGAGTTTCTGTTTGATGGAGTCGAGGACTGTGTGAGCTGAGACGCAGTTTTGAGTTGTGCAGTTTAGCTTGATGGAATCGTGAGAGATGATGTTGATGGCCTCGATGCCAAGGAGGTAGTCCCAGTGCGATGTATCGCTTGGTTGGGCCATGACGGTCATTTCGAGAACGTTTTCGCCCTCGCGAAGTAGATCGGTCACATCGACGGCTAGGTCCTTACCGTGATGCGTCTTTTTGCGTGCTTCGAGACGCGTACCGTTTAAACTGAGATACAGGTACGGTATCCACGATGTATCAGTGGTTGCCCAGACATGTTCCTTTGGTGTATCTGTCCCCTTTGTCCATTTGATGCAACGCAGACGAGCAATCTTGTTTGCCTCATTGATATTCCGGACGCCGGGGTCGGCCACTGATCGGCGGACAGTCTTAGGGAACGAGCTTATCCTTTCAGGTGTCACTACAAAAACCCATTTTTCCATTGTACAACCTGGTTCCGACAGCCGTGCAGGAAATTTGACATATCCTTCTTGGAATCCATATAGCGGCGATGGAACGGAATGAGCATTGAGGACGGGGCTTCGCAGATGGGCCTGATGGAGAGAAAATCTAGCGGGATTGGGCACACGCTGTTGAGGCTGTACGCGCCCAGATGGTGGAAGCAAGCTTGTGGGCGGCTTCGTCTGGATTTGAGTTGATATTGGTGTTGGTTGAGCTGGTATTGGTGCTGGTTGAGTTTGTATATTTGTGTTGATTGGCAGAGCCGGAGTGTAATTCTGTTCATACACTTGATGAACAACATGCTGCTGAAGGTATGGGCTTGTGACACCGTTGGCGTTGGGCTGCCTCGCAGTATTGCTCTGTCTTTGCTGGTGTTGGTGCTGTTGATATTGGTGCTGCTGCTGCTGGTGTTGCAGTTGCTGTTGGTGCGGCTGGTAGATGGGGCTTGATGGAATACCTCCTTGGCGAAGGGCATTTTCATAGCCTTCGACAGCCGCTCGAAGTTTGGAAGCACAGACTTGTTCCGCAGCCAGTGCCTCTCGAGACTGGGCAGAGGCCGATTCATGTTTTTGGCGGTAATAATCGACCTGATTTTGCTGAAAAACAGAAACAGCCATGACCTCGAATTTTTCCGCGAAGGGGGCTTTTTGGTTGGCGCGCCAGAGGTAGCGTAAAAAACCAGTAAACACAAGGCGCTGAAAAATGGGCGAAGGGACGCAGAGAGTTGTGTCAAGTTCGCGTGCGAGTGGCGGATAACGACGCTGATCGCATGTACTCCTTAGGTGTTCGTAGTTGAGGCAATGAGCTACAAACATGGTGAACAAATGCACCTGGTAATCAAACCCCGAGGGCCACTTGGCAAAGATTGCTTGCATGGGATACGGGTAATTCGAGAAGAAGTCTAGGACACTAGAACTCAGAATGTAGTTGGGTTCAAGAATATCCTGCAGTACCTTTTGTGCCTCAGGCAAGCCTGGGAGATTTTTTATGGTATCAGGTAGAGCCTCGGGGGCTGTGGTGAGCATACAATAGCACTGGTGGATGGTCAAATAGAACCAGTCTTCCTTCTCGGTTGCATCTCGTAGCACACCAAAACGCAATCTGTCACGAGAGTGGCTGGGTAAAGCAGACATTGACACCTGGAATGCTTTTAGTTGGTCCAAACAGCTCTTGGTTGTATACCACGGCGACATTGTGAATGACATGTTTGGGGAGGCGGGCGAGGTGCCTTGAAATGTTTGTGGTAGAGCCGTTGTCCTGCGCTCGGCTGAGTGGTGGAATTGTACGCCTGCGGGCAAATGTGGAGATGACACTTGGCCAGGTGGGTGTGTCAAGGTGGAAGGACTGTGGGAGTGAGCCTGTCTTTGTATTGGGCTGTTGGCCTGCGAATACGTATTTAATGATGGGCGGCGCGGCAGGTTTGGGGTTGCAATATCTGTGGCAACATGGGACATCGTGTTTGTCATGTTTTGTCTGACTGCCGGCCGGAGGTTTGTAGATTTGTGCGGAGCATATACCTGGCGGGTATGCCCATCTACTGAGCCGTGTGAGGGGCGCCTACGCTGCAACGGGTCCATGGATACGTGCTCTAGAGGTGTTTCTGGCGCATAGGCTGCTCCGGCAGAGTCGAAGGTGAAGGCGTCCGCACTGGCCGCTGGACTATACGTAGTTGGTGATACTGTTGCTACCGCTGGTGACATGGTTATTGTTGCCGCCGCTGCCGTTGCCGCGCTGGTTGCTGCATCTTCACTGGGAGTTGACGAAGGAAGCACAGAAGCAAGGGAAGGTCTAGGAGCCAGAGCATTGGCTAGCTGGGGAGATGAAGTGTAGTTGGAAGCCGGGTGCTGCTCTGGCTGGCCTGTGTAGTGTGACTGGACGGATGGGTCTACGGGGTGCAAAGAAGGGCGTCTCTGAGAGGGTATTTTACGAGGCCTTCCACGGCCACGGACTGTGAATGGCAGAGGATTGGCGGAGGGTTGTGCGGGAAGTGCCGGGGGCTCAACGGGGGCACTGGAAGGCAACATCCAGTTCTTGCGTGGACCGCCGAGGTTGCCGAGGGCATGGTGGAGGGTATGGGCCGTGGCATCGCCGGCCGGCGAGTAGCCAGCAGAAACCATGGCGCAGGCTCAAAAAATGAGCGGATCGACGGGTGAGGGACTCAATGTTTGGTGTGGACGTGGATATGGTCGTGGGCGTGGACGTGGACGTGCTCACCTACCCACGGCCTGTTTCAAGCGGGATGGGTGGGGCCATGGCGCGCGCGCACGTGCGGGCGGCGGGGGCGGATTATGTGCATTGCGAGCCCGTACTCGTTACCGTCTGCCGGCCGTAATCTGTCTCTTTTGCTGCCCGTCTACCGCCAGAGACGAACAGAGGGCGGCGCTGGAGATGCGGGTGGGTCAGAGTATGTAGTATGTATGTAGTCGCGGGCGAGGAAAGGGGGTGCGAGTGCGGGCGCGTGGGTAATGGCAATGCGAGAGCGGGTGCCAATGGAAACAGAGACGGAAACGGAAATGGACATGGCCATGTAATTTAATCAATCAACTGCACGCCGTGCAACCCTTTTCATCCCATCTGCCTGTCACCTGCAGCTGCCGGGCCAAAGAAGAAAAAAAGAAAGAAGCAGAGGGCTCCATGCGACACAACGGGCCTCAAAACGCCAGGCTGACCTCGCGGCGCAACCAGCGGACGTGTATTCGGTAGCATGGCTGGGGCGCAGTGTGCGTAGACTGGCACGGCCATGGCTGATCTTGATCTTGAGGCTGCTCCTGATGTCGCTGCTGCTCCTGGCCCTGGTCGTGATGCGAAAGCTGGGCTGGCCAATGGTCAATGGTCAGTGGCCAGTGGTCAATGGGCATATGTAGCCATGGTCATTGCCCCGGCCCTTGCCAGCCTACTAGTAAGTATTAGCTGGCCCGCCCACCAAGCACCTAATCCGGGCGAGCCACGACGCTGGGCAGGCACTATACCCTCACCTCTGCCATCGCTACCATCACCGCCATCGCCCCTCATCCCCACCAACGGCGCCTCTTCTGCCCGCCACATAGCGCCGCCATGCTCTCATGAATCTCCAGCACTGCCGGGTGACTGCCGCTGCGAGACGCCACCACCGTTATCAATCCTGCCTTTTGCGCCGCACTACCCACGCCCACGCCCATACCCACGCCCCTCTTCCACGCAGCCTCAACACTTGTTGAGCTGCTGCTGCTGAGCTGCTGCTACCGCTGCTACTACCACCATGGCCCAACGCTCCCATACCGAGGGCTGCCGGCCCGGCGACACTCTTGTCGTAGTGCGTAGGTCGCTCACAATCCCCACGCTTCTCCGCTCATCACTGCTAACACGCCGCCGCAGACGAGTTCGTCGCCCGCAGCCCCGACGAGCTGAGCCTCAGGCGCGGAGATCGCATTGAGCTCATCGAACGCGACGATGACTTTGGCGATGGTTGGTTCCTGGGCAAGAACACTGAAACGGGCGAAAATGGCCTGTTTCCCGAAGGTGCGTTCTGCTCGCATGGAAACCCCAGCGGATAGCACATGTCATGCTGTTATGACGAATTCTCCCTAACCACAACAACAGTCTATACACGACCTGCCCCCAAGCCCACGCCCATCCCCACCATGCTCTCGCGCAACCCCTCGCAGCTGTCTGGTCCGCCGTCAGACGCATCGGGCCCACCCGGTACCGCAATCTCAGAGCCCTCACCATCGTCCAGTGCCCCATCGCCCTTGAAATCCCCCCCGACCGAGCCCCTCCATATTGCCCAAGGACCAGAGAGTATGCGGAGATCATCGGCCCAAGGCGCTCCCCGGAGCATCAGCATGACCTTAAGTGGAGAGGCACCACCCGACGAAGAAACGATAGGAAGCCCAGTTATGCACGAGACGCTGAGCGTCATTGACGAGCACATTACCGGTATGAACACCCCGAGACTCAACTCCGCGGCCAAGGAAATGCGATCCGCAGACTCGGAAAGCGAGTACAGCAGCCACCACCGCCTTTCGTACATCAATGGCCAGGAAACTGACGAAGAAGAGCAAAATTGGCACACCGAGGAAGAGGTCAAGACATGGTCACCCGCCCGCGTAGCCGAGTACCTGGAAGAAGTGGGCGTAGAGAAGAAGCACTGCCAAGTCTTCAAGGATCAAGAGATCGACGGTGAGGCGCTGTTGGGCGTGGATCGCAACTTTATCTTCATGCAAGAGTTTGATCTGGGCCCAATGGGCCCAAGGCTGCGCACCTGGATGAAGATCAATGCGCTGCAATCTGAGGTCAAGAGCGCAAAGGAAGTCGCCAAAGACGCCCTGGCCCTGCCCTCCCTCGAAGGCCACGACGAATTCCCAATTGACGGTGGACGAAACCGAGCAGCCTCCACAGGCGCCGTCCTCCCGCGCATACCGACGCTTAGGGATAGCATTAGCTCGCGTGGCAGCACGAGCCGCCAGCACATTCCGCGAGCTGCATCCTCGGCAGGTCCGTCGTCCGCTCACGACGCTACATCCCCACTAATTCAGCACACGCCCGCTTCGCCCCCCATTGGGTCGTCCATCCGCCCTTCTGCTGCGTCCGTCCGAAGTATGAACCATAACAGACGCCATTCTTCTGTCGATTACAACCAAGTGCCCTCGACGCCTACTACAGCGGGGATGATCAAGACGCCTGCATCGGCCAACCCCCATAGGAAAACGCCGTCTTTCGATCGCAACTGGACAATGGGTTCCCCTCAGAAGCCAGTGCAAGAAATAAATCGCCCGTCATCCTCGCATCACACGCATGGCTCGAGTATAAACGGAACTTCTTTTGACAGCGCGGAGCCTGGTCTAGCCCCTGCGGACATTGATAGGGGCTACTTTTCTGGTGGAGAGGTCGACAACCGGAAGAACAGAAATGTTTTGCGCAAGCGAGAAAGCCCTAGCCACTCTCGGAACGCCAGCTACAGCACTGAGGCTGGACGACGGATATCCTACGGGCGACGACACAGCAGAATTGGTAGTGCAGACTCTGCTTTCCGCTCGGCAAGCCCCATCTCGGTTGCTGCGAAACAGTACTATGGCACTAGTATTAAGAGCGAGCGCAGCTCGAGTGCATTTGACTTCGTGCGACCACTCAAGCCACAGACGGATATGCACCCGACAGTCACCAAACTTACATACGACTCGCACAGCATCGATGCTATTGCAAATTCCCCGCACATTCCTGGCAGTGAAACATCAAGCACTGGTCGCGCATCACCATCTCCTGCCGCGCAATCGCACACGCGATCATTTTTCAGCAGTCGAAAGGGGTCGCAATCCAGGGGCTTGCGGGCTATATCGGACGCCATCACCGGTGGGGAAAAGGCAAACGCAAGCGCCGCAGATGTGTCATCGCCCAACAAAGATTCACCAATGCAGTCACCCTCTCGGACAGGCTCAAGTACGCCGTCTGGTAACTCCATGTCCAAGAGCATTGATCTTGACAAGGCGGATCCAAACAGACGCATGACCAGCAGTTCCGCCGCCAGCACAAAGGAAGCGCGGAAAAAGACCAAGAAACACGGCACCAGCGCCTACCTCAAAGGTCGTCAGCAAATCACTCCTCAGCAGGCTATGGAGAACTGTGACTATAGTGGATGGATGAAAAAGAAGTCATCAAGTCTGATGACGACGTGGAAGACGCGTCTATTTGTGTTGCGTGGCCGACGCCTTGCCTACTATTACACAGAAAATGATACCGAAGAGAAGGGACTCATTGACATATCGTCACATCGTGTATTACCGGCCAACGACGAGCGCATGACCGGCCTCCACGCATCATTGACTGGCGCTGCCTCATCTCCAACTTCACCACAAAATGCCACCATCCAAACCGCGGCATCAACAGATAGCGCCAAGGGAATCCCAGGCATCGAGGCAGATATGTCGGGCATGTTCATCTTCAAGCTGGTACCGCCTCGTGCAGGTCTACAAAAAGGAGTCCAATTCACCAAGCCAATTGTACATTATTTTGCAGTGGACAGCTTGGCAATGGGACGATTATGGATGGCTGCGTTAATGAAAGCGACAATCGACCGTGACGAAGCGCTCCCCTTTACAACGACCTACCAGCAAAAGACGATTTCGCTCGAAAAGGCGCGTGCCATGCGCCAGCGTCCCCCTAACCTAATGGACGAGGACGCCGAAGGCAGCATGGCGGATTCGGAGCGTAAGAGCGAGTACTCGAAAGAAAGTCTACAGGAAAGCACCATCCACGAAGAAGACGAAAAGGGCCTTGCTATTTCGGGTCTCGATGACGCAAAGGCCTTACTGGCTTATGCCGAGAGCACGGACAATCTTGCCGTTGAGCATAAGCATGATAGTACCGCAACGGCTATTGCATTATAAGGGATGTTGGTTTGCCCAAGCACGGGGGTTTCATCTTCGTCTTCTTCTGTTTTACATCGCCTCTTTCAACTCCAAAGTTACACACGGGTCTCTCAATGGCATTAATTAATATAACTCCCATCCCTCTCTTTCCCGATTCTCCTTGTCACTGAATTTTTGGCGCACACACACACATTTGAAAGAAATACATGTAGTAAAGAGAGAAAGAAGAGAACGTACCTTTTAGTCGGGACAAACGGATGGTGGCGTCAGTTTTTTTTTCCAAGCGAGTCGAGCGAAAGCATCATCACCAGCGCTTTTTTTCTAATCTTTTTTTTCTTCTTCACTCGAATTCTTGATGTACTTGTACTATGACTTCTGTTCGCAGTCGTTACCCGATTTCTTTGTAATGTTTGCGAAGGTGGAGGTAGTTGCATGTGTGAATGTGGATGTGGATTTTTTTTTCATGGGAAGAGAATATGTGAGTATATCGAGAGGAGGGTACAGAGTATAAATATCTATGAAGTATTTTATCCGCCCTTTTCTTTCTCTCTCTCTCTCTCTCTTTCATTCTGTCTGGTGGGGTTGATGAGGGGGTGAGGAAGAAGATGATCGTACCACCGGGATAGGGAAAAAAAAGGGGGGGAGGAGACAAATTTATATATGTAATAGTGAAGAATTCATGTACTTGTACTATTAAACATATATATACTTGGTTCTCATTTTCCATTCCTTGAACAAAACAAAAAAGAGAGAGAGATGAACTGTGTAAGATT